TTTTATATTATTTATACTCGTGCAATTTCAAAACTATTTTCTGTAACCATTTATTTCTGACTTAACGGATATTCTGATATTATTGACGACAAAAGTTTAAAATCATTGATTTCCTTACCTGTCCATTATTTTTGTTTGACGGAGTTGGTTTGGACCACGTGGCAAGAAAAATTTTGTCAAGGTCCTGATGAGAATGTGCAGACAACTGAACGTATGAAAGAAGACCATTGACTTGTGAGTCAAGACCGTTTACACGTGCAACTATCTATGTTGATGACGTCGACAGACACACACTATTTGTATGTTGTGATTGGATAATTTAAATTAGCAAGCAGTGACACTAGTGAGACTTTATTAAACTAATTTTTCTCATTTTTTCGTTAAGGCGTGAAATATTATTTTGTACCGTAAATGGTACTTGAAATATTATAATGTACTGAAAATGTACTAAAAATCTAAATGTACTTTCAATTTACTGGAAAGGGTAAAATGTACCAGAAAAGTACAAATGTACTAGGAACGGCAACACTGGTCAGGATTGCAATTTGGCACAGAGTATTAAGTGCCCAAATCATGCGCGCTTAAAAAACTTGGGATATCGATACATTGTCTTCGTTCATTACATTTGATTAGCATTGTTCATCAGGGCTTGCGAGAATTTGTATGTGGTCTGAGGCAGAGCGGGTCCCTTTTTCCATTTTGTTTTTTTTTTAACAAATGAAACGAAATGTATATAATACTTCTTTATTAAATCAATCAATAAAAAGTAGTTTTAAAGATTTTGTTTTCTTAGTAAAATTAACATTAATTTATAGGATAGGAACCACTAGGGTCTCCTTAGTTTTCCCCGGACTTCGGGAATAATTCCCAGTTTCCCCTCTCGACAGCCCTATTGTTCATAGATAATATTTGCATATACTCAATGCTGTAGTCGTAAATTGAGCAGAAGATATACGTTTTCATTACAATTTTTTTTCAGCATATAGTTTGCTTCAGAAAAAAATAGAAAGAAATACTTGTAAAAAATAAAAATATTGGTTCAGTTGTTTGAAAAAAATATTGAAATAAAAAATATAAAAATTTCAATCAAAAAGTATACAATATTTCTACGGAAAAAAACCACAGGCTATAAGATTTATACTGTCGAATGCTTTTTTCTACGAGGTACTGTACACAAGGGCGTCGCCAGCCAATCGGCCGGGGGCAAGATGATATAAATTGATAGAGGATATGAATTGTATGTAGGTAAAATAAAAACGATTCATAAAGTTTTAATCATTTACTATGTACCGGAGAAGAACTATCTTAATTAAAACATTTTTTTAAACTTACAATAAGCCTAAGAAGATTATTTTAATTAAAACTTAGCATTTAAATAATTTTTTCGAATTTTTAGAGGGGCAGCTGCCCCCTTGGCGACGCCCTTGACTGTACAGTTCTGAAAATATGCTGTATTAAAATATTTAGTACTGTATTATGCTTGTACAGTACTATTGAAAAAAGGATTTCAAGGATTCAAACTTAGAAAAAGAAATGTCTTAGTCGTATTTTCTATGCTTTGATGATTTGGAATCGATTTTTCTTCTTTTAAATATTATTCTAACTGGTAAGATCAATCGATAATGATTCAAAAAATGTGGATTACGAAATAATAATAAAAATAATAACGGTAAAAATAATAAACTATAAATGCTTCTAACAAGTAAGTAGCAAGCAGATAAGTAAGCAAACTAATGAAAAGCAATGGTATTGAGGCAGTGACCCTCGAAACCATTAGACTCAATCCAAATAAAGACTCGATAGCATCACAGAGTAAAGAAATATATATCGGATAGCATTAGACTCGAGCTAAATAGAAAGGTCACTGACTGACTATATATACGAGAATTAGAATTGCCGATTTTCGGAAATCAATCTCTCCGACCTCCAAACGCCTAAAGTAATTCTGACTATCTCGTTCGAAAGATAATTGTTTTCGTAGGTAATGTGCAAAATTTCATATAGAGGTTGCCGAAATACGAGTATAGACGAGTATATGCAATCGAAAAGTGCAAAAATCACCAAAAAGCTATTTTCTTCTTTTTTCCATCCAATACTGAAGACGATCCTAGAGAAAAAACTACTGGATTTAGAAAACTCAAATTTTAAACTTAAACCTCTCTCGTTATCAGTGAGGTGCTCGCAAAACTTCCGGGTCGATAAGTCAAAGTTCACGGGGTTCCCCACAGAACTGTTTTACTTTTATGGTTTAAGTTTATGCTTGTAAGGATTAAATTGCATTCAAGCGAATGGTTTTTACTGAAAACGTTATCCAGAATATTATGCCAATAATGT